TGATACTTTGCATCAATTAGCGGATATCTTTACAAAACCCTTAGACAAGGAAAGATTTTGGACACTTAGGAGAGAATTAGGTTTGACCAACCTATCTTCACATAGTGTTTAGAAATATTTTTTTAACACTTTTAATAAATACTGAAAAATGCTCATAATAGTAATTTTTTTATTGCATTCAATGCTATTAGTTAGGGGAAGTTTATGATTCTTGATGAAAAATTAATTTTATGTTCAAATATCAATTAAAGATTAATTTAATTGTTTGAACATAATTATTTTTCAATATATGAGTTGCCAATACCACTAGAGAAAATTAATTTAGCATTTTGGGTGTTTAAAATCGGATTTTAGCATTTTGGTGCAGAGGGAATCGATCTCCCCATGAGGGAACCGATTCCCCCTTTGAAGGGGAACTGACCCCCCCACAGGGGAATCGATACCCCCTGGGGTTCTGTTAAAATCGGGCAGAACCCTTCAAAACACGCAAAAACCCTCCATTTTCTTCCTTGCCGACCAAACTCTCTCCCTATCTCCTTTTTTACCTCAAATCAACGATATTAATCGGAATTCGCTTCAAATATCATCTTCTAAACCTGTTGGAGTCATTAAAATCGTGCAAACAACATCTAAATCCCCTCAATCTTCATATTTCAAGGTAAATTTTTCTAAACTCTCTATTTCATTATTTTTGAACATAGGATTAGTTTTAATTAGTTCTAGGTTGAAATAGTGATCGGGCATTGATTGTTTAGTGATTAGAAACTAGATGTTACAACTAATTTCATCAAAAACACAAGAACTTTCCAAAATTTTTTAAATTTTCGAAATAAAAAAAATAAAAAAAATGTTAATTTTCAAATTATTGTGTTTTGATTAAATTATGTTGTTGTTATGAAAACTATACATATATTGTTTCTCAAAACCATATTTTTCAAAAATTTTCAAAACTTTGCCCATTAGGATTGATTTAGAGAACCTTGAAATATTGAGGACTCAATTGAGTTTTGGGATTAATTAAATTGCATACATTTGTTTTTAAAATTGCAGGTTATCCAATCAATTCCGATTTCCTTCACCATGTCTAATCCTAAACGTGCTAGGTCTTCATCTAGTCGTTCTATTCGTCAACCAAATCCACCTCCAAATCCTCCTCCTATTCCTCAAAATCCTATTCCAAATCTTGATCCTAACTTGACTATCCAAAATTCTTGTTTCAATCAACCGGGTCCTAAAGATTATCGTTATTGGTTTTACCAATATTTTGACTCGTATAAGATTAGGGAAGAACGTATCCCATCTCTTCAAGTTATGGTTGCTATTAACTTTAAATATCTCCCTATCTTGCACGAATAGAAATTTGATAAAGTTTTCGAACTTGAACCCGTTGTCTATCATCAACTTGTTCGTATCTTCTACTGTAATCCCGTTTGTATCAAAAATCGTGACAAGACCAAAACCATAGGAGTATGTTCCTACCTCCTAGGTCAATATTTCCATCTTGATCCGGATTACATAGCCAATGCCTTAGGCTTGGATAATGAAGGTTTATCAAATGAAAAACAAGTTTTAGGCTCACGATATAAACGGAATGATAGTGCAAGTGTTCTAGATCTTCATGAGCGTTTTCTTCATCTCATGATCACTTGGTGGTTTCGACCATCCGGGGGTCGTTATTCTACTCTTAGAGCTTTAGACCTATGGTGGTTGCATTGTTTTGAACACAACATAAAAATAAACCTTTCCAAGATTATCTTTGCTGAGATCGTTGAAACCGTTAACCTAGTGCCAAATAAGAAACTCTGTTCTTCACTAGTTTACGGTTGTATCCTTAGTAATCTCTTTTCTAAAGCCGAGCTTCGAGTTGGTCTAGATGCCGCTTTTCCTCTTAAGAAACAAATCAATCTTCTTTCTTTAACAAGAGCGGGATGGGTCAAAAATAAAGAAATCGGTGAATGGGTTCGATCTTCTGCAACTACTCCGGGAGCTAGTTCTTCACAAGCTCTACCAGAAGCTGACGAAGATCTCGAGCAATTAATGCGAGACATCGATGAAGCTGAAGATGAACCTGAGCAGCCCGAGGAGCAGCCCGAAGAGCAAGCACAACAATCGACTCAAATGCCTCCATATTTTCAATCTTTTATGGAGACATTTGATTACCGATATGCGACCATGGATTCGCGCTTTAATTCTATAGAGTCCCATTTATCCACAATGGGAGCTCAACAATTAGAAATTCTTAGGAAAATGCGTGCAAATAATGAAGCAACCAACGCACGTATTAATGACCTCACTAACGAAATGGCCGCTATGCGAGCTCGTTTTCCTCCTCCTGATCCGGATATGTGATTAAATGTTTTACTTTCCAAACTTATTGTTTTAACATTTTGAATATTTTGGAATGTTTGAATTTGTGGATTGTGAATTTGTTTGGATTTATGGATGGTGTGAACTTATATATTTGGTGTGATTTATTCATTATTGCATCATTTACAACATTATTAGCAATATGACCAATTTTACCATATCACATTATTTATGAATATTGATTATGGAACTAATGGCTAACGGTTCTCTTGATTTTGATCTTAGCAGCTTATGCATACATATACCTAATCAACTGACTACATATTTTTCACGCTTATTTGAATCTTTTTGATTTAACAAAAAGGGGGAGAAGTGTGTTTTAAGTGTGTTTTTGAAATGATAAATGGGAGAAGTGTTAAAGTAAGGGGGAGTAATTTCAAAACTTGATTTCAAAATCTTAAAATTATTAAAATGTTTTGTTATATCAAAAAGGGGGAGAATGTTGAAAACATTTTGATATTTCGATATAACAAATTAAGTTAAATGAATTTTAAGATTTTCCAAAATGATTTTCTAAGTATATTCGATATAATTATTCGAATATCAAAACATTACTCAAAATATTTCAAAAATCATTTTTAATCCTTACTTAAGTGTAAAATTAAGTTTTAATCTTAAAACAATTTCAAAATAATCTTTCAAAGTATTTCGAACCATTTTAAAGCCAAAAATTCCAGATTGCTCAGAGGGAACCAATTCCCCCCCAAGGGGGTACCGATTCCCCCCTGAATGGTTTGGCTCCGAGATTTCCAGAATGCTCGGATGGAACCGATTCCCCCATAGGGGGTACCGATTCCCCCCTGTTCAACGGTCGAAATATTTGAATTTTACACTTAGGGAACCGATTCCCTATGATGAGGAACCGATTCCCCCCACGCTCCAAGCTGTTTTATTAATTGTTTTCACACTAAAACGGCTATATTATCTTCATTAATTATCCCCAACGTTCAGAAGTGATTCAAGGTGTATTTAAACAAGTTCTGAAGCCCTTGATCACCAAGAAATCATAGAGAATCAAGAGAGAAAGCATCAAACACCAAGTTTGTGCAAATCAAGCCAATTTTCCCTTCAATATTCATTTTGCTTTCAAGAACACCATTTGTGCTCATTTGTAATTATCTTTGAGTGTTCTTTTCTTGTTCTAGAATTGTGCAAACATCTTACCTTGTGAGGTTTTCCTTGTAAGTTTGCAAATTTGTAATCTTCTCTTTGGGAAAAGAGTGTTCTCGAGAATTGGGGTATATTCTTGAGGGTGTTGTAATGTTATCTCTTTGGCCTCAAAAGAAAGAACAAATTAGTGAATTTGTTGGAAAATCCTTAGTGTGGATAGCTAAGGTAGTGGACGTAGACTTTGATTGAGAAAGTCGAACCACTCTAAATCGCTGTGCAAATCTTTTCAATTTTCTGCAAAAGCTTCCACCGAATTTTTAATTGCCAATTCACCCCCCTCTTGGCTAATTCCGTCGATCGATTAACTCAACAGAAACCCACAGCCACTGTGGCCTAAACGCTCCCCCAAGACTCTGACAAGAAACCTAGACCTCAAACCCTTCTCCTCAAACCAAATCTTAACCCTAAGCCTCTCAAAACAACACCCTCTCCCTCACTGCCGAACCATACGACCGTCGTAGGTTTGCCTTTTCGAAAGCTCCGCTGAGGAACCAATATCCCAAATAACCCTCACTTTACCCTTTCTGTGGAGCGTACACGTTGGTGTAGGGTAAACATGCTTGCTTTTCTTTCTTCTTGTTTCTTCTTTAAGTTCCAGTTCCTGCTTATCTATTACTAGTTTGAACTGAAAGCCATCTCTTTGGATTAATGATGTGTCTTTGGATTAATGAGTGCCAAAAGGAACATAAAATTGCTTTCTTTGCTGCTTGATTACTGAGTTCATTTTCTTAGAATTTTGTGCTTTGCGTGATTCTTTTACTGGTTTTATTGTTTGATTGATATACATTGCCAGTTTCTTGCAAACTGGTTATCGATTTCTCATCTCTAAAACCTGCCTTGTCGATCATATTCCGGTTGACCCTTGTTTAATCAAACAGATGCATAGCCTTGTGTACTTGTATTTATAATTTTAATATTTTGCCCTGAATTTAATGTCAGCCAGCAAGTGCAAGTACCTCGAGGAGCCATATTGCAGCATCAGTGATGCAACACCGTCAATCAGTTGAAAGAAATGGTCGTGCTCTATAGTCTGTATCTTCAGCTAGTTGCGAAAGCTCACTGGAGGTCAACATCCATCCCCAGTAATCTATTGATTGGTTGCTTTTCTTTAAAGTCATTTGCGAAGTAGAGCATCTATTATTAACTATCTCGTTAACCTCTGTTGTTGAGGACATTACCTATTCTTTTCAGTAGAAACAGATAATATACTGCAACGGTATCACTTACATGGATTCATAGTTGTTGTCATTGCAGGCAACACCTTATACTTCTTTGGATTTTATGGGAAGATCCGAGAGATCATGTTATAGCCTTAAACATCAACGGAGTTGCCTATTCTCTAACACACGATGTAATATTGTTTTAGTTTTTGAATAATTTTTTAATTTTTCCATGAAATGAACAAAAGAGAATAATAATGACTTTTCAATCTCATTTTGGAGTACACTTTTGAAACTTGATATTATGGTATAGAGCAATATCTTTCCCTTGCAATAAAGTGCTAGATAAGAGACTATTGAGATTACGGTAAATGTTAGAAGCAGGAAATACAAAAAAATTGTGTTTACTTGTTACCTTAGAATGTGTGGCTGACTGCAGATAAGGAAGGACACCAAAGCTTTGATTTCTGTACTCTGAATTTCATTTGCTCATGCAGATTTTCACTAGAAACCATTAGGGAATTTTGTGCAGATCTCTCTTTTGAACTTCAATTGACACTGTCATTAATTTCCTAAACCCTATGCCCTATTTTTCACTCTAAATCCTAAAATTCACTAATTGGTTTCAACTAGAATCTTCCTAGAAATGAGGTGTACTTTGATGGGTGGTGAACCAGTTTGGTTTATGTATAACTGAAAAATCTTTCGGTAGTTGGAGATTTTCTTGTAGAACTTTATTTTTTGGAGAGAAATAATTAAGTTCCTAATAAGCTTAATTCAATTTGAAGATCCACTTTCTCTAAGTTCTAAGGATGTCCAAGTATTAAGGGATGAAGAGTAAGTACTATTGTCAGAGGGGAGACTTGGGGCTGAAATGCTAGAGGTATGCTTGCTTGTTGTGGACGATAATGCATCAAAATTTTGCAATCAATCACTCTTTCCCTTTTTTTCCTTTTCATTGGAGAACATGTTTGATTCTGTGATATATTGCTTTTACCATAGGTTGGGACATCTATGGTCATCTCCAGTATAGTTGGATTTTGGGTCCAGAACTTCAAGCAATCAAGTTTATCATGTAATGCTATTGCTTTCTATTCACTGCTGAAGGCTCTGGTGTTCCTCAGTGCTGCATTATTCTTATTTATGTGGGATTATTGTAGTTCTACTAATTTTTTTTATAAGAAGGTTCTACTAATTTTTTTTATAAGAAGGTTTTACTAATTTTGATGAATCCTTAACTTGGAGTAATGCTGATTAGAGCTTGAGTTCGAGCTTGAATCGAGTTCGAGCTTCAATCGAGCTTGAGTCTCGAGCTTCAATCGAGCTCCTGAATTTTTTTTGAGTTCGAGCCTTTTCGAGTTCGAGTTGAGTTTCAATATTATTTTTCGAGTTCGAGTCGAGCTTGAAAATTTTAGGCTCGCGAGTTTTCGAGTCAAGCCTACATTTAAAGTTTTCGAGTCGAGCCTACATTTAAAGTTTTCGAGTTCGAGTCGAGCTATACTCGACTCGTTTACACCCCTAGTTAGGTGATTATTGATATAGTTTATATTTTGTTTTAAAAAATTTATTTTTTAATTTTTAACTAATTTATAATTACACGTTAAGCCTTTTAAATTTTTTTTTTTATAAATTAAATTAATAGTCTTCATCATTAATGATAGTTAAGCGTTTAGAATTTCCTTTTTTTTAATAAACGTCGGGGTCATTTATTTAAAAAAAAGAATTTTTGGGAAACGCCCTCTTGCTTCTCCCTTCTCCCCTGATCGCTGCGACTTCAAGGTTATTTCTCATTCGCTTCTCTCATTTTTACATTTTAATAGATAAGGATTGTTACTGATGCCTTTTTTTGGTTATCCAACTTTTCATTTCTAGATCTCATTCTTCAAATCGCAGCGTCCTTCCCTATCAAGCCATGTCGCTGGTAAGGTTTATTTGTGTGTATATATAGTATTACTTGCTTTTGGTAGTTTAGCTATTGAAGTATTAGGGGAAATTATTTAAAGTAGAATTAGTAAGGGAAATTCTTTTAAGTAGCTATTCTGCATTACAAAGGAAGTTGAAGATGGAATATATTTTATAAAATTACTCTCATAAATCAATGGGATAGTTGATGGATTTGTAGATGTTAATAAGCATTAAAAATGATTTTAACTTCACCGTCTTCTATTTAAATTGAGATCCATTGACCAGCAGAAGGATAGATGGGAAGACGTTATAGTCAATTAGCTTAAGTGTGTATGTATATGGAGATGTTAGCTGCTTTCAAGTAATTTAGGGTGTAAAATGATATAAATTTAAAAGAATCATTCAAAAAGGAGGTCCTTTTCAGGGTTTTTACTGGATTAGTAGTACAATTTTTTGTAGGGATCGGTTGTGGTATCTGGTTCTTCGTGCTAGTGTAGTGTGATTGATTTACTTGTAGGTCTTGCATGCAGGAAAAACAAACAAAAATGCCTATAAGGCACTCATTGCTGCAGAATATTCTGGTGTGGAGGTCGGACTGGTTGAGAACTTTGAGATGGGTATCTCAAATAAGACTCCTGAATTCCTCAAGATGAACCCTTTGGGGAAGGTAACCATGCTTAGTAATAGTTTGAAACTAGAGAAAAATCCTTTTAATATGTAATGGAACCTTTTTTCTAGGTCATTTACTGAAAGGATATCTCTGACTTTAGGTTCCTGTGTTGGAAACACCTGAGGGTCATGTATTTGAGAGCAATGCCATTGCTCGTTATGGTTAGATGACATGTTGACTCCATAGCCTACATTTTTGTCCTCTGGTATTTGTTTACGTATTTGTATCTTTACTTTTCTCTGCAGTAACTCGCTCAAAGGCTGACAACCCTCTATATTGTTCTACATTGATTGATTATGTAAGGATTTTATACTAAAATGGTCTTGTTATTCTGCCATCAGTTAAGTTTATTTTAAACCATGAAACTCTTTTTATATATGTATGCCTTGGCTTTCTTAGGGTCATATCGAGCAATGAATTGATTTCACATCCATGGAAATTGATACTAATATTGCAAAATAGTTGTATCCAAGACTTGGTTATGGTGTTTACCTTCCGCCAGTAAGTTCTACTCTCTTCCCCTCTCCCCTCAGGTTCTTGTGTCATTTTCATTGCGCTTTATTTGCTGGGTCATTGTATTGTTTCCCCCCCCCCCCCCCCTTTCCAATTTTAAGACAATAGGTCCCATGTTAATATCTGACTTAAGACAACTAAGTCGGCTAAATAGAAACTTCGAGGGAACAGCGAAGGAAGAAAATGGCGTCGGTTACCTGTCAATTCTTGTTTTATTCTTTTTAAAGAGGACTTGATACAGCTGTGTTTCTCTGTGCATAATTTCTGTAAATGAATGTGTGACAGCACTAGAAGCCCAAGTAACTCTGGTACGAGAGTCATGCCATTGAATTGATAAATCAAGTTGGCATAGGCTTACTAAGAGTTAAATTTTTTTACGTTTTGTAATTCAGTCGTAGCTTATATTACTTTGATGGTCTCATTTTGCCCATCTAGTTTATCTTAATTTCTATCTATATTTTGCAGGCTGAGGAAGCTGGTATTGCTGCACTGAAGAGAGCGTTTGGTGCTTTTAACGCTCATCTTGCTTCCAACGCTTTTCTTATTGGACATTTAGTCACCCTTGCTGACATTATCATATGCAACCTCTACTTGGGCTTCTCTGAGATCATGACCAAGAGTTTTACCTCAGAGTTTCCTCATGTTGAAATGAGAGGTACTTCTGGACCATGGTTAACCAGCCAAATGTCAAGAAGTTTCTTGTGAAGTGAAGCAGGCAGTGTCTGTGCCACCTGCTCCTTCAAAGAAGCCTGCTGCCCAACTAAAAGAAACTAAACCCAAAGCCAAGGATGAACCTAAGAAAGAAGCCAAAAAGGAGGTTGAGTAAAAGCCAGCGAAGGCAGAAGCCGCTGGGGAGGAAGAGGCGCCAAAGCCCAACCAAAGAATCCTCTTGATTTGCTGCCTCCTGGTAAGATGATACTGGATGACTGGAAGAGGCTTTATTCTAACACAAAGACCCATTTCCGTGAGGTTGCAATTAAAGGTATACACCTGTTGTTTTCGTTGCAACACTGCCTTATATAATCCTTGAACTGTGATTTCTGATACTTATTTCCTGCTTATTTCAGGATTCTGGGACATGTATGCTCCTGGGGGATTCTCTGGTTCTGACTACAAGTAGAATGAGGATTCCCGCAAATAATGGATTTGGCACGAAAGTATGCTTTTGGGAAAATGTTGTTGATTGGAGCTCATACAAGGTGAAGGAGCTATTGCTTTTCCGTGGGCAAGAGATTCATCAACTTTTGATTGATGAGTGCTGCGACATGAACTCTATGAATGGAAGAAAGTTGACATCTCAGACGAAGTACAGAAGGAGCGGGTGAATCAGATGATTGAAGATTGTGTCTTTTGACGGAGAACCTCTCTTGGATACCAAATGTTTTAAGTAATAAGTTATCTCCTAGCTTATGTTGTATGCTATTGTTCTACCCTCGTATTTTTTTTCTGAACTTGATTTAGTTTATATTACAATCAAGATTTAAAAATCAGATAAGTGGATTCGGAGACTGCTATGTACGTTTTGTTTCATTATTACTGAGGCAATTATAGTTCGCATTGTATTCTTATATTACAAATCATGCTATGCCAATGATTCACCGGTATTCATTGCATATTCGATTATATACCTTGCAATCAGGCAAACATGAATTCTAGAAATAACCTTTTTTCCGTTAGAAGATGCCGCAAGTATAACCAATTTGTTAGATGAATGGGAACATAATCAGGACATTTAAAACATTCAAGTTATACAGGTAGAGGCAAGCAAAATAAACAAGATATTGAGACGATACTTACTATTAAGACAATAGGCAATACAGTGATTGTATCTTATTATGAAGGGCACGCATATGTAGATATATGCAAGAAATAATGCAAGATCGTCAGTAAAAAGAATGTTGGAGCACATCAGAAGAACATGGCTAAAACAATTAGGGGAAATAGGTTATTTTAACTAATGAAGTAGAGACGTCAAACCTTATGGTGAATGAATGATGCATGAAAGAGGGATCATTGGAGATTGCCCAAAACTCAAAGGAGTTTGACTTGGCTCTTCCTAACTCAGCCTCCCTAAGCTATGGTCATGATTTCAAGCGACCGTATGTGCAGCAAGGCAACAGGACACAGATTTATCGCCATATGTCTACGGTCATCTGCCCGTCTTCGCCCGCTTCATTCCTGTACTGTTAAAGGGCGACATACTAGGACTCATGCTTGGGCTCATACTCGGGCTCTCTTCCCTTAAGGTACCATTTAGCAAAGCCAACTCCCTAAGCTGCTGTTTCTTGTAGCTATCCAAGGATTCATCCTGGAAATGGTGGATGAGGGGTTAGAGAACAGAAATGGAAGGGTAACATAAAATTATCACAAATTGCTTTTTGTTCTTACAACAGGCTTCAGAAGGTTTTCTAGTATTGCAACAGCATACTCCAATCGAGAATTTACCATGTCCTCGGGGAATTCAGCCTCCACCAACACATGCAGTGGCTCATTAAGGTGTTCATATCCAGGTTTATCTTTCAGATTCTCTTCCTGTAGAAAAGTCAACAGCCAGATTGAGAATTTAAAACAAGTGAAGCAGAACAAGTTACTTTTAGTAAAGATGATCACTGCATTGATTGATCATAATAGTTACCAGCACAAAATGTAAAAGATTGGGGTTCCATTCGTTTGATGCTTTTACCTTTTGCTTTTGTTGTAATAGAAAAGTCAAAAGCACAAAAATACATATGAACTAAAAACAATGGATAAACAGAAAAAATCTTTAACGGAGCCCAAATAAATATGATACAAATACTAGATGCAGAGTACAACGAATGTAAACGGATATGCAGATTACCAGCAAATGTCAAACTAGATCAATTCTCGCATCGCCTACAATTTAAAATTCCAGTAGAAGATGGATTGAGAGGACAAATATGGGGTGGGGGGCAGGATATTATACTCCTAAGCCTCGCTCGACAACCAGCCACACTCCAATTTTCAAGATAAAGTAGAAAATACTTGCCTGAACAAGAAGTATCTCAAGACTCAACTGCACACTTTTACCAAAATTACATGTTGGAAATAAAAGAATTAAAATGATCGACTATACCTTTACAGAATCCTTGACAGAACCCTTGCCTCTTATGTACACCCTACACTCTGTCATGGCTTCAACTCTCTTTAAGGAGTTCCCTCGT